TTTTTTTTTTTTTTTTTTTTTTTTTTTTTTTTTTTTTTTTTTGCTTTTTTCCCCCTTACCTGGCTTTCCTTTTTATTTTGTTTTTAACTATTCACTTTTACATCATGTTTAACTATATAGCTTGTGGATCTGCCATTCACTAGCTGAGTAAACCTGGAGGGGTTATTTAACATTTAAAGTTCCACTTTCTTCATCTGTCAAATGAGAATTGTTGTAGACTCCAGTGATACTATCTTCTCAGCATCCCTTTTTGATAACCACTCCTCTACTCCATCCACACTCCCTTAGATTAGTCTAGAAGTGATCATCTAATTCAAGCTGGACCAGGAAGACACTTGCCAGAGATTTTGGATTTAGGACTGAAAGAATCAGGTCAATTTCCTTCTAGTAGCTGAAATTTTAAGACAAATCTCAGGAATTGCTAGTGGCTATGTATACCACTTATGGAAAAGATAGCCTACGGTAAAAGAAAAGAATGATACTAAGAGGCAGGAAAGAGAAGGAGGGAGAGTCCTAGTGGTTCTAATGGTTCCTAGGTTCTTGTTTTTCCTGTAGCTTGGCTGTTCCATTAGTCATCTAATATCTTTCCAGTAAGTTCTCCTTTGCGCATATATAATTTGATTTCTATCACTTGAAACCAATATAGTTCTAATACATAAGAAATAATCCCTACACTGAGTAGTTGTTATAAAAAGTAAATGAGATCAAATAATTAAGTGCTGAGCATATTAGCTGGTATATGATAGTCACTCAAGAAATTGTGCCTAGTATTATTATTATTAATTTTTTTTTTTTTGAGAGGGAGTCTTGCTCTGTCGCCCAGGTTAGAGTGCAGTGGCGCAATCTCGGCTCACCGCCAGCTCTGCCTCCCGGGTTCACGCCATTCTCCTGCCTCAGCCTCCCGAGTAGCTGGGAATACAGGCGTCTGCCACCACACCTGGCTAATTTTTTGTATTTTTAGTAGAGACGGGGTTTCACCACGTTAGCCAGGATGGTCTCGATCTCTTGACCTTGTGATGCACCCGCCTCGGCCTCCCAAAGTGCTGGGATTACAGGTGTGAGACATCGCACCTGGCCTGTGCCTATTAATATTATTTAGAAGATGTGGATATAAACATACATTGTATGTCAGACAATTAATAAAAACAATTTTAATAATTTCCAAATCTTCTTTCTTCTTGTAGCTTCAAAATCAATCAAAGGATTATTTGATTCTGGATCTTCAAACAATTGTAAAATAAATGCTCTGAATGAATTTTGCTATGTAATATTGTATAAATGCAATTGAGAGACTCTCATATAGTAAATAATCTTAGAGAATAAAGAAGCCCAGACCAGTGATCCACAATTTCTTAACTCACTTGTTTAGAGTAAACATTTAGAGGGAAGGTGGAAAAACAACGCAGACTTACATTCCAGTTATCCCATATATATAGGAGTAAGTCTGACATACATAAACGTACAAAATACTGACTTAGCTTCATACACATTCGTGTTTACACAGTAAAAAGAATGTAGTATAATCAAGAAAAAATGGAATCAACATATACCTGTAGAGACACCACACTGACATTATCAAAATGGATATGTCCATTAGCTTCTGTGACAGCAGGATTTGCATAGCACGTCACACCATTGATGGCAGGTAATGCTTTAGGTTGATGAGTTTTTTCTTGAGGACCAAAGTTATCATTTCCAAAGTGGGTATGACCATTCTATATGGGAACAAAACCCAAAGAGATTATAAGAAGAAAAAAGATGATTCATACAGACAGGGAAATAGAGTTTACTGCTTTTTATTTATAAGAGGAAAATTGTATATCTATTCTACATGTAAAGAAATCTTTTTAGATATATAAAATTTCTTTTTTACATGTATTTTCATTTATTAGATTCTGTTGTTACTGTTTGTTCATGTTAGAACACGTACACATTCTTATTTTGATGAACATGAATAGAATACAAATTAGGCACATCTGTTATTCAGTATTAAATTGCTGGTACTTGTTTCAAATTTTACAACATGAATCAAGTATTTATCTTACACTTGTCAATATATTGACTCTTTGTTCTCCTTAAACTCACAAGCCTAGTAACTGAACCATTCTCATAATTCTAAGAATAAAAATCCTGTCTTTATTTGCCTATATAAAGTAACTTTAGGGGGTAAAATGTCATACGTTTTAAATAAAGTCCATTTACCTGACCATATGTCTTTAATAACATCTTAAGCATTCTTTCAAAAAAGAAAAGTAGGTAAAATCCACCAAACACAGCAACTGCCTTCTCAACATAACTGTCGACTTTGGGATCAAATCCAAATGCCTAAGGGAGAAAAAAGGGCAATTCAAGTAAAACCAAGAAATTTAACTTGATTTCTGGAAAATAATACCAGTATACAATTCTCACCAAAGTTCTAAGTCTCTCTTCACATCCAAGTAATATTGGAAACTTAGCTGCCAAAAATTACAAAATGAAAACTTTGAAATTTGAATGACAAAACTGTATGAAATGGCACAAAAATCTTACAACCAGAAGTCTCATTAAATAAAGCCACCAGAGAACCTTACAGTTTCCCAGCTATAACACCTACAGCAATATTTGCCTTGAAAGACTAAACTTTTAGCAGTAAAGCAGCAGCACTGATTCCCATCCTTAGAATACAATATTAGGTCTAGATAATGAAGATAAATGAGATATTGATTACCTACTGTCTCTAAAAGTAATGTGTTAGTCCATGATATCCAGAGTCAAACTTTTAAAATAAATATGGCAGGCCACTTGGATTACTGTTTTCCCAAGAGAAATCCTCTTATGCCTACAAAACTGTGATAAATCCTAAAAAGGCAAATAAATCAAGGGCTAGGCCCAAGAATAAAAGCAAAAAGAATATTTAAAATTGCCACCTCTCTCTCTCTCTCTCTCTTTCACACACACACACACAGCAATAAGAATGGAATAATTCTTTGTCTAAAGGACAAAGAACTGGAGTTAGAGTTTGAAGTTATAAAGAGTCAAGGTGTTCCTAACAGACGAGACACATAAACTTCAAATAAACAGAATCAGAGGAGAGACTAATGGGTGAAAAGCCACAGCTTCACACCATTCCACACATTGTAAGTCTCCCCTCTGAAGCAGAATAGAAGATGTCTGGGTTCTTGTCCCCTGTTTGCCTCTGGGGAGACATCATGGCCGCATCTTCATTTGAGTAACTTCTTTGTGCCTGTTTATACAATGCAAAAATGGCAAAAAAAAAAAAAAAAAAAAGGCCTGTCCCATTTACCTAACACTGACATTATGAAAATAAAGTTAAATAAGAAAAGGAAAATCATTTTGCTATTAAAAACTCTATGGAGATTCAAGATATTATTACAGATTATTTATATTGTTAAATTTCAATAAAATAGAAAACCTTAACATCATAAATGTAGAGTCTCTAGTCCACATACAGTATTAGTTTAATTTAATTTGACCCATAAAGCAGATGAGATAATAAACACATATATTATATCATATTAAATATATTATGTATATAATACTCTTTTAAATCAGAAAATCTGTATTGTCATCCTAGCTTTGTTACTAGCTGATTGTAAGGCTATACTCAAATTATTTAATCACCCTGAATTTTAATATTTTTCATCTCTGCAATTGAAGCTTTGAAATAGATATTCTCTTAGGTTCTAGATCAAATAATGTTAATAAATCTATAACCCTAAAAAGTTATATCCCCACTTTCACGTATAGCTTGAAAATTAAAGGAAGCTTTAGTCATAATTTTCTAAAAATAATGAGATGAGGGTGGTACTCCCTAAAATACTATTAATAGTTTCTCTCTGTATGGAGTTTGTCTCTCCCTCTGTGTGTGCATTGTGGGTGGCAGATATAGTCCATGTATACATATATTTCTCCAGTTCCTGTTTGTGGATCCCTTCTATGAAAGTCTCTTTCTCCTTTCCTTCCTCTTCAACACTGCCTCTCTTTTCCTTTCATTTATTTTCCTTCCTCCATTTCTCTTCCTCATATGGGCACAATGCAGATTTGAAATAAATTGAATAGTGTGCACTATAGTCAAGATCAGATCAATAACACATTTTATCAAAGGAAAAAAATAAGTTGCTATTTATTTATTAGTCCTCAATTGATATGTTTTCCACAATTGGAAAAAATGGAAAGGTTTGTTGACTGTGGTCTCATTTATTCTCTAGTCACTTATAGCTGTAGTAAATATATGAGGGAATTTAGTGGTATATCTTAAATAAATTACAAATTTACATCTGACATTTGCAGTATATTTGACATTGCACGCTCTTTAGAAAAACAAATAAATAAATAATGAAACTGTGTGTGAAAAAATTAAATTTGCCAAGTGCAAGGCAGAATAAAGTTTTAAGGCCTTCTGAGGTGTCCCAGAGCTGTCTGAGCACGTCCTAGTGGCTGGCCTCCTAGAATATTAATTTTGTCTCTGATACTGACATCCACTGTAGCTTGGGACAAGCCTTTACAATTGCTGTGATTCAGCTTTCTCTTATCCAAGACACTATAAACCCGACCATAAAACACTGTAAGAATTATGGAGACTAAAAACATACAAAGTGCTAAAACATGCAAAAGAAACAATTATTCACTGAAACAAATAGCCAACATCCTTACCTCTGGAATAAGTTGGAAAATTGCATTTGAAAAAAGAGTCCCAATAGCCAGCCCCACAAAAAAGGTCAAAATCTTCGGGAAATAAGATTTCTTTATCAGTGGAGTCAAAATTAATCCGAGGAGAGAAGCCAAATTAATAATTGTCACTGACAGGAATCCATATCCCCAAACTGTGGGTCAGAGGGAAAAGAGAGTAGAAATTAATCAGGGCAAGGAACCAAATGAAGTTTTCCTGTACATTAAGCTTAAAAGTGTCTTTAAAAGCTTAAGACACATGTCGTCTTTAAAAGAACAAAATCTACTCAACGAAAAGTATACAGAAAACTGAGAATATAAATTATGGCATAGCAAGCATTAATAGTAATACAGTTTACATTTTAATCAGCCCTAAATCATCTTTATGGTATTACTGAGTTTTACAGCTTACAGGGAACTCGGAGAACATCTAGAGCAGTGACAAACAATCTGAGGGCCACAGGCTCCAAGCCACCTAGTTTCATCTATGGCTCAAGGAATAGATTAAAACAGCACTTTGGGGAAAAAAAAAAAAAAAAAACAGAGGCAGTGTGAGCCTCAGGACAAAGGTATGGGATGATGGGTGGAGGGCAGGGATGGAGATGGGTCACAGTGGGCTAGCTTCAAGGTGACCATAGCTGCTAACACTGAGCTTGTCACAATCATTTGTCTTCAGACTCCTGAGGACAGCACCTCCTCAGAGAAGGTGGCTCCAGTAGCACCTCAGCTCCCCAGCTGGGGCCTCCTGGGAACTAAAGTCAGCCTGATGCAATAAGCACTCAGGAAGTGAGCACATGGGGACAGGAGGGAGCGGCTGCATTACATAACTCACCCTGCGAGACACAGATTAGGCAAAAATGTTCCATACAGAAGAGATGCTGGTGACAGAAGAACGTGGTGCATCTTTCATCTCTCGAGACCCAGGGCCTGGCACCCAGTAGGCACACAATAAGTGTTGCTTAGAATGAAATGAACGAATACTATCCTAAGCTCTATAGCTAATGGCGTGTGTGACCTGTTGCCTTTGGGCCTCAATTTCCCTCTCTCTATCCTAGAGTGGCTGGTTTAAGGTAAAAATGGGAACACAAGTGAAACATACCAAGGACAGTCACCTATGTGTGGGTGCAGGCGGAGATACAACCTGGCCTCAGGGCTGTGCAACACGTGGCTTTGCCTCTGGCCCGACACACTGTACACAAAGTACAATGTGACAGAGGAGAAAGCTGCCTCTGCGTAGCCACTTCTTTAAAATATCCAGAAAGCATGTTTAAATGGTGGGCCACTTCTCTCCATGGCACTGTCAGTGGAGTACACTAGTAACACCTACAGCTCAGGGAGCATTTGCCATGTGCCAGGCCCTGTGCTAAGTGATCAACATGTGTCAACTTATTTGAACCTCACAAACCCCTGTAAGAGAAATATTGCTACCGCCTTCATACAGTTGGGGAAACCAAAGCATATGGAGTTGAAGTAAGCTGCCCGAGTCACACAGATAGAAAGCTGAATTTTGAACCAGGACAGTCTGGCTCCCAGGCCCACATTTTTTAGCAATATGCTTTATTATTCCTTTAGAGGTAATCTCATTTTTAGAAAGGCCAAAGGACTCAACAAAACTGTAAAAATGTTATCCTGAATTATATGTACTTCATTAACACAAGATTGTTCACTATAATTATTATTATTATTTTTTTTTTTTTTTTTGAGACAGAGTCTCACTCTGTCACCCAGGCTGGAGTGCAGTGGCGTGATCTCGGCTCACTGCAACCTCCACCTCCTGGGTTCACGCCATTCTCCTGCCTCAGCCTCTGGAGCAGCTGGGACTACAGGCGCCCGCCACCACTCCCGGCTAACTTTTTATATTTTTAGTAGAGACAGGGTTTTGCCGTGTTAGCCAGGATGGTCTCGATATCCTGACCTCGTGATCTGCCTGCCTCAGCCTCCCAAAGTGCTGGGATTACAGGTGTGAGCCACCGCGCCAGGCTTTCACTATAATTATTGTTAGTCTAGAATTTCTATGTACAAATAAACAAACTTAGTAAATGTTCATTCAGCCTAGATGATGTGGACCAAACCATGGTTCCTGCCACCACACACACACACGTGCAAACACACACACAGCGTGATACAAAGTCACCTGTGCTAAGTACCAAATGAAAAGGTGAGATTATAAATGGTACTATATAACTCCAAGAATCATCACAGCACTGACCATGATGACTGCATCTTCTCCAGACACTTTCCTATCAGTTTCAGGTCCTGGCCATGCCCTACAACTTCATCTAACAGCCCACTTCATTCCCATTTATTACCTTATCACCTTAAACAATACTACTAGTCTCCACAGACATTCCACTTGGAGAGAGTTCTCAATTCCACACCTTTCTTCGTGGTATATCTACATGGAATTTCTCTTAACACAAACATACTTCTGTCCATCACTAGCCTACATGCATTCATCCATTCAACAAATATTTATAATTTCACTGCGTAGACAAGATATAATGTTGAAAACTAAAATTAAAAGGCAAAGAAATTGTTAAGTGCCAATAGAAGCAAAGCCACATACACATGTTAAACGCATCAGCTTCCCTGCAAACACCTGCTCCATTACCCTCGTTCACTACCTACATAAATAACAGGAACAGTAGGATCAATTTCAATTTTTCCACCAGTTAATTCCATAGACAACTGGTCATCAAACCCTACCAATTCTGCTTCAGGTATCTCTCACCTCCAGCTTCTCCTTCCTCATTGCCAGTGGCCTTGAAGTCAGACCCTCATCACCTCTCACTCCCTCATCTTATATAACGTGGCAGTTATCTATCTGGTGCCCCTTCTACTAACTGACATGGCCTACAGACTTATACTAAATCACAAAAATGATCATCTCGTGCCCCCATTTGAAATTGCCCCTCATAAACTGACCCTCACACAGCCTCTCCAGTGTTATTTAGCCTCTTCTCAACATGGCCTTTACCCAAACACCATGTTTTCCCAACCGAACTTTACCTTTACACTGTGGTTCTCTGTCTGAAAACACTTTCCTATCTTCCTTGCCTAAGAAACTCATACGTGGCTTTCCAAGCCAATGCAAAGATCTCCTCTATGAAGCTTCCCTGCTGTCCAGATAGTACTTCCTGGCTGATCAGGATTCCCTTTACTCTTTGTTTGAAACTAATTGGTTCGCTCACCACTTCTTGTGTGCTAGAGTAATTTTATTACTGATACGTTTGCCTACATCATATAAACTGTGTGATTCTCAATGAGAAGGGCTATGTTTTATTCATCCTCAGTGCCTAGAAAATTGTCCAGGAAAAAGCACACATTCCTTGCTGAAGGAATTAATAAATTCCCCATTTCAAAGTGCAGCAGAACTCTGTCAAAAAGACATACCAATCCATCTGCTTATCCACCTTTCTAACTTTCTTTGCCCTTGCACATTTATGAGCATAACTTGGGGGATGGTGGGAGTGTAATTCATCACATTCTGGGCACACTGCATAGCTTCCCCTTCTTGTATTGTTAGAACATTATTCAGAAAAATAATGTCTGGAATTTCCACTCAACCGAAGCACTTTCCACTTAACTGAAGCACCAAAATAATACATTGGTATGAATCTATTCCTTGGACATCTCCATATATACATGGGACTTTCTCAAATGATATGTTTCAGAGAGGGACCAGTCTCCTAATAAGTGAACCCTGAAAGATTTTTAATAGATTTCAAAGAAATACAGTCATGATAGTTTACATTTATTGAATGTCCACTGTGTAAGATTCTTCTAAGAACTTTACCTATATTAACTCATTTCATTCTCACAACAACCCTATGAGATAAGTACTATTATTTTTCCAGTTTTACTAGCAAGGAAATATGGTTCTATTATGATCCCCATTTTGCAGATCTGCATACTGCCCAGGCTTCAATTTTTGCCTGGCCCCATTCAACTGAGAAACTGTATAGAATGGTGTTTAACAGTGTGAACTCTGGAGCTAGAGGATTTGTGTTCAAATCTCAGCTCATCCCCTCACTGGCATCATAGTTTGGTTCTTTGACTTCCCTAAGGCTCAGTTTTCTCCTATTTAAAATGCAGATTAAAATAGCTCATATTTCATAGAGTTTTCACAAGAATAAAATAAAACCAGTTAATGCTGTCCCTGGAATATAGCAAGCTTTTAATAAATGTTGATTATTATTATGTTTTAAAAAATTAGTAAGTAGACCATGATATAAATGTTAGTTCATTTAATTCACTGTTATTCAGTGAAAAGAATAACAAACTAAGAATCAGGAGTTCTCATCTCACCTTAGGTACTACACCTACAAGAAGCCGCTTAACCTCTCTGGAACTTAGACTTATATCACTGGTTGTATTACAGAGTTGGACAATATGATTTTCAAGGATGCTTCAAGTAATATTCTTTATTTTGTCTACTATTTGAATTAAATACTATTCTGTAACTTCATCAAAAAATGAAGCAATTTCAGATCATTAAATTATTATTAAAATGCAATTAATTTCTCTCCTAGAGAATTTAACTTATCATCAGTTTACTGTACTCATCAATATCATTTTATAAAGCACATGAAATACATTTCAAAGATAAAATGTGAGGCCTCTGAGAAATTATATTATTTTATCTGCCCACTGAAATGTCAACATAAATGTATTCAAATTCTTGTATCATTTTGATTGCTTTTATGTTGATTTTTTATTGCTTTGGATGGGCTAAGACTTGACTCTTCATTAAGTGAAAAGTTATATGAAAAATCCAGTGCATTTAATTATTTTAAAATGTGTTTCTCAGTGAGAAAAACTATAGGATTACACAGGGGCCAGGGAATGTGGTGAATCTATGAACACATGTATAAGAACAAAGACATTCTTATTCCTCTGTGCCGGGCATTGTTCTAGGCACTTACATGTATTAACTCATTTGATACTCCCAACAATTCTATAAAGGTACTATTAAAGTAACTGACCCATAGAGATATTAAATAATCATACAGTTGCACTAAAATAAAACAATCAAGATATCACATCAAAATAGCAATAGATTGCCAAGTTAAACATCTTAGATGAGTAGTAACAAGCACTCTACTAGATTACCTAAATTCCTTGAGAAACATTTCCATATCTTCTCCCACCCTATCCCACTCCACTCCAGCCTCATTTCAATTCCTAACACAATATGCACCCTAAGAGGCATTTCTCTTTTTATTGGGTTATCTGTCTGAATATTTGGTGCCTTTATGATCTCATAACTCAGAATTGTTGACTTTTCTATTTTATAACTTTGTAGTGTTGGCCCTAGAATTCTACTTCTCACATCCTGCTTCTGACTTTCCAGTTCTCAACTCCTGGTTCCTGAAACAGAACCGGGGTTTAAAAATTACTTTTGAATATGAGTAATTAACTTGCACATAGCAACTGGGGTTAAAAAATTACTTTTGAATATAAGTAACCAACCTGCACAGAGTAGAGTATTTGCTTTTTCTGAAACCTCACGTCCTGTACCTAGAGTTATGCACATGTTAGATGTAGTTAATAACAGACCTAACTAACAGGCCCACTACGGCACCTATGTATTGAATAATGTTTGAAGTACTTTACAAATACTAAGTCATTTAATCTTTACAGCAAGCCCATAAGAAAGGTACTATTTTAGATGAGGAAGTTGAGGCAGGAAAAGGTTAAAGTCATGTTCTCAACATAGTTGGAAAATTACAGAGCTGGGATTTGAGCCCAGGTAAACTGGCTTCAGAGTCTGTGCTTTTACTGTGCAATACTATTAGTCAAGGGTAGTATCCTAAAACATTTGCTGAATTTACTTTTGAAAGTAAAGTGCAAATTGTATTAAACAGGCTTGTAGAAATATAAATATACTCTAGCAAAAATATTTGCTTGAACAATTAGCAATTCAAAATTACTAATATTTCAAAATTGAAATTACTGTTATTCACAAAATTGTGAATTATATTGATAAATGATACTTGATGATTTCTATACTTTGTATCTATAAATATAGAATATCAACGAGAACATGGGTTCTGAAGCCAAGACAACGTCAGCTGAATCTGGCTCTACCACATGCAAGTTGTGTAACTTTGAGCAAATGACTTTAAACTCCCTGTACCTTTGTTTTCTTGGCTGTAAAATGGGAATAGTAGTGCCTACATCATATAGTTGCATGTGATTAATATGTTAATGTGTAAAGTACTTCAAAGAGTGCCTGTCATATAGTAAGTACTGCAAAAGAATTGGCTATCATTGTTATTTTTGTCATTGTTGTTATCTCTTTTATTCATATAGAGGGAGATTGAAGTGTATATACACAAAGGAATCCGGAAATGAAAACAGGCACTTTCTTTGTTAAGTCTTCCCTTTTTTTCTATCTATACTCATGTCAGATGAGCTCACTCAGAACAGCATCTTTGTTTTTATTTTTTTGAGATGAGGTCTCCCTCTGCCACCCAGGCTGGAGTACAGTGGGGTAATCATAGGCCACTGCAGCCTTGACCTCCTGTGTTCAAGTGATCCTCCTGCCTCAGCCTCCCAAGTAGCTAGGCCTACAGATGCATGCCACCGTGCCAGCTAATTCTTTTAATTTTTGTTGTGATGAGGTCTCACTATGTTTCCCAAGCTGGTCTTGAACTCCTGGCCTCAAGCAATCCTCCACCTTGGCCTCCCAAAGTGCTGGTATTACAGGGATGAGTCACCGTGCCTAGCCCCAGTGTCTTTAAATATCATCTCTAGACAGGCAAATCCCCGGTCTTGACCTCTCCTCTGAAAGCAATCTCCTCTCCAAATGTCTGTGTGTCTTTGTCTATTGGACCTCCCTGTCTACCTGTGTACGTCAATGTCTCAAAGCAACCACACTAAAAATTATACTCTTCATCCTTACCACTCCCTTCCTCTACAATAAATGGCTCCTCCCAGTCTTCTCCATCCTGGGAAATGGTATAACGATCTCTCCTGTTTCTCTGGCTCAAGCCTTGACTCATTGTTCCCTCTCCCACAATCAATGCAGGGCAAACTATTTAGCATGATCTCCAGGACTCATCCCAAATCTACTGCTTCTCCCCACTTCTACTTCCCCCACCTTAGTCCAAGTCCCCATCATCCTGAGCATCAGCTCCTGGCAGTCGCTTCCTGACCAATCACCCTGCTTCTACTCTGGCCCCATTACAATCTGTTCTTCAGATTGTAGGCAGGTGGAATGCCCTTTTACAGACTTGAATAAGATCACAGCACTCCCCTGTTTAGAATGGTACAATGACTTCACCCTACATTCGGAATAAAACCCAGTCAATTTACCACCTCCCACAAGGCTTCCTCATCTGGCCTCCATCTCCTGCCAGGACGTATCTCCTTCTACCTTCCCCGCCAACTCACTAGGCTCCAGTCACACAGGACCCTCTTGCTGCTCCTCACTCATGCCAAGCTCATTGCCAAGCTATGTTGGCTGTGCCCTCAATCAAGAATGCTCTTCCCCTAGAGAAGACCTTGCTGTGGCCCTCTCCTTCTGCTCAGATGATACCCCATCAGAGAGGGCTTCCTTGATCTATTTAAGATGATACTCATCCACCATCACTTTCTATCCCTCACCTACTAATATTTTATTTTCTTCATAGCACCTTTCACTCTGAAACTATGTTGTTTATTTGCTTGTTTGTTTAAATGTTTATTATCTCTTTTCTCCACTACACTGTAAGCCCTAATAAGACATAATTTTTCTTCTTGTTTACTATTGACTCCTTAGTGCACAGAACAATGCTGGTTATGTTGTTCAATAAATATTTGCTTAATAAACAAATGAAAAAAAAATTTAAATTCCAACATAAGTGTCAAAAAGACTCCCTGAACAATTGGTTTATCTCACTGGTGAAAGTTACTCTTCTACACATTCAAGTATGTGAGCTGTATATTAAGCATACACATATTTTACTATGGTTTAAAATTTCTTTGCAGCAGATCATACCTTTAAAGTACCATATTCATGGCAATACCATTATAGTCACTTAAAATAGCCTCTGGTATTTTCTTTCACCTATGAAAATTAAAACTAATAATTTGGTCCCTGAAGATTCAATCTAGAAGTATGCTAGTTCTCTTATCTCTTCATCGGTAACTGCAGATAAACTGACAAGTTTTAAAATAATATGGCAAGCAAAAGATAATGGAAATGAAATGATCAATTATAAGTCAAATAAAATGCAATCCAATATGCACAGCATAAAATATATATTGTTTAAAATCAAGAACTGGATTTTATAGTTTTTAAGTGTACTAAGTACAATTTTGATTCAACAAAGAGACGAGCATAACTTACAAAGCTTAAATAAGTTATAATTCTCTTATTCTAAATACTTTCAGAATATAAGTATTATTCTAAGAGGCTCTGTGTAGATTAATTAAAAGCAATAAAGCAGAAAGAGAGGCATATTAACTTCATTTCATAATGGTTTTATAGACTTTTCAAATAAAAGAGAAAAAATGCTTTCAATATACCTTCTGAATGACTTGGTCTTGTTTTGTGCTTGGGCCGATCCTCACAAGGGTGAAAGTTCAATTGCTGTAAGACTGCTGGACAGATGACAGAGAATTTGGAGCTGGTTATTTGGGTAGCATTTGAAAAGCCATGAAGGGAAAAGATCTCTTCAGCGGTTAAACACTGAAATAGAAAAAACAAACAAAGAAAAAAAAGTGTTAATAATGTGTAAAAGCACATAAGCAAACATACTATAAAGAGACACACACTATTTCATCTAGATGCACAGCACTCTTTATACAAAAGCCCACCACAGAAATTGAAAGGCCCCTAAAGTTGTAAAACAGCCCCGCCACTTTAAATGTAGAAAGAAGAAAAATGGAAGAAAAAAAAAATCCCTTCTTAATCAACAGCCTTCCTACAGCAGAAAAAAGATAAAAATTGGTTTGGGCATATCCAAGGACTTAAATAGGGGTGCACCAACACCATTCAAACAAAGGGCTCTAAAACAATTTTATGTTGTCAGTGCCCCCTCTTAGTTTACTTTTCTTCAGTTTGAATGGATATTTTCTGTGTGTTACTGGCATGAGTCTCTATGACCCTTCTTGTAGACAAACACCTGGCTCCCTACAGTTTCATGCTAAGAAATTCCTCTCTTCTCTACACTGTAATAAATATAAATATAAAAAGTTGTTTTAAAATATGTCTTTAGCACAAAGTGTTTTTTGTTAAAATATGCATTATTCTCAGTGATGGTGGGTAGCTTTTCTATATTAGATTAAGTTTTGAAAATAGTGCTGGGCTGTTTAGAAATTCATTAACTATTAACGAGGACTAGAATCTGCATTAGGAAAAAAACTGCAAAAATAACTTTTTAAAGGTATAATGTTGTTCTCACATTTTAACTGTAAGCTCTCTTCCATATACAGTACTTGCACTATTAAGAAAAATATAAAATAAATGCTAATGAATGTCATAAGAATTATAGTGTGAAAAACATCCATTCACTCAAATGGAAGAGTCTGTCTTTAATAAATGTAATTTAGGCAAGTTATTTGCATGCTTCCGCCAATGCTTAAACCCCACTAAGACCTTAGCCATGTACTATGATCTGAATTATGTCTCCCCAGGTTCACATGTTGAAGCCCTAATCCCCGGTGTGATGGTATTTGGAGATGGGGCCTTTGAGAGGCAATCAAGTTTAGATGAGTTCATGAAGTTGGGGGGCCCTGGTCCAGTAGGATTAGTGCACTTATAAAAAGAGACATCAAAGAGCCTGCTCACTTGCTCTTTCTCTGCTATATGAGGAAGCGAGAAAATGCTCTCTGCGACCCAAGGAGAAAGCCCTCACAGACAGCAACCATTCTGGCACCTTGGTCTTGGACTTCAAGTCCCCAGAACTGTGAGAAAATAAATTTCTGTTGCTTAACCCACCTAGGCTATGGTACTTTGTCATGGCAGCCTGAGCTGACTACTACACTATGAATGGTATCAATAACTCAAAAGTTGATGTTAACTGTTTGACCACAGGATGCTGTAATTCCCTTTACAACAGAAACAATGAAGTTTAAAATGTCGTATTTTGATACAAGGAGATTACTACTGTTTATAAAGGAAAAATGGAAAAACATCAAATACACCAAGATCTATGCAGTTTTCCAAAACTAAGATTACAACTACCTTACAGAAAATGCACACTTAGATTTTTTTAATGTCTAAGTATGTACCTAAAATTGTTCCTTATTCAACCCACTCTTTTGAGTTTATGATTAATGATAGCTGCGTGCCATCCATAGAAGAGGATACACCACACCCAATGCCCTGTTAACAGTCTTCCCTTTAACTCAGAATGATGTATAATAAACTAATGGAGGGAGAAAATACCTCAAGATTCAACTGGAGAAGGGAAAATGTGCACAGCTTATTCATCACCATGAAGGCATCCAGAAGCATAATCGCTAGACTCAAAAAGTACACAACCCTTGTGGTTGAACTGGACACTGTGTGTTTCCAGGAAAAAATAGGCGTGATAGCACACAGAGAGCACCACTGTTTCCCTGCAAGGAAGACTTACCCTACTTGGACTTTAAATTCCTCCAACTGTAAAATAAGAGGAAAAAGGGAAGATGCCTCCAGATAATCTCCAAAGACTTTTCAGAATTAGCATTCTAAGACTCCCTAACACCTGATGACTGTTAAGCAGTTCTTTTTCAGACTCAAATTGTAACCCATTCCTGAATCAGGACGTCCACTTGCTAAGGCACAGTCGGCATTTTTTAATAAAGTAAAAGGCAAAAGAATAGAGACTATAAACTATATCACACATAATAGGGTAAGTATTGCTTAACCAAACTTTAGCTTCAGTTACACATCATATATAACATGCACATGTATACTGGATCATGATGTAAAATGTATTTCTTATTGTGAATGGCAGTCACGAGCTTGAATGCCACCAACCTTAAGGATGTCAGAATTGCCTACTGTACATCATTAAAGACACCCTCCTATCTACAATTAGAAAAAAAAAATAGTGCATTCAAATAAATATATAATTAATACAATCAGATAGCTTAGCTGTGCAGCATTTGTGTTGAAATTTTAGCTGGACAGGTGGTCAGGGATAGTCACGGTAGTCATGGAGAGTGGCAACTGTCCAATCACCACGAAGAACACAGAGATGTAGAGATGATAAAACTCAAAGACTCACGTCATGATAAGAGAATGAGAACAGAATGCTAACAGTGCAGCAGAACTGAATTAACGGCAAGCCTGACTTATTTAAAATAGCTATCTACCAGCAAGTGGAATGAACACAATTTTGGACAGTGGCCTATTTTTGGCTTCAAACAATCTTGATATTTATTATACTTTGACTTAACAAAGTTGAACCCGAAACAAAAGAAAGCCGTTGTCTTAGAAAGGGTGGTGCCTCCCAGAGCGGGAACAAACAGGATGAGAGTCCAGCGCCTGAAGAGTGAGGGCAACAAAACCAACCGGTTATACCATGGACAAGGAGGCCCAAACACCCTCACAAGCACACCCTTTCACCTCCAAAACAATGAACAAACACATTACGGAAAGGGTAGGATCATCCAGGGCTCCTCAGAAAACAATTCAGGGTGATTGTACGGAATGCTATGTGCCTTGATAAAACTCCATGTGCTTTCACCAGCTCCTTCATATTTATGACAGCTCTACTTCTTTTCATGTTTGTATTTATGACACTGCTGTTCTCAAGCATGCTGCCCTGATGTTTGCTGTGGCCTTTTAAGGTTTCAGATGTCCTCGTGTTCATCAGGTTGACGTTTTTCATAAAGACATAAAGACTCTTTCTAAGTTTGAAGTTAAGCTCCTATTCACTGGTCTCTTGCCACATTAGGGTGACCTCAAATGGGCCTTCTATATGTGAAACATCAAAGTAAGGTAGCATTAGAGGTAGAGGCCAGGTATATACTACAAAAGAGACAGCCAAGTATGCTCAAAACCGTTTCAGCAAACAGTTCTGTGCATTTTGGCTTCCGCTTCTGCTCTTCCTTCTTCCTCACCAGTTTTTATAAGTCAGAAGTTTTTCTGCCTCTTTCCTAAACATGTCCTTATGGGAAAGTGGGGGGCTGGTTCAGGGAGGGGATGAAGGAAGCTCAAGGAATTAGGGCAAGTTCCTTCCTTAGCATTATACACAATTGAAATTTGGTTATAATAAATGCGGAAGAGCGGCAAGATCTGAAAGCTTCAATACCGACAGATTCCCTCCTTGGCTAAACTGCATACAGGCTCCTCTGAGCCCAGGCCTTGACCCTAGTATCCATCCTTACAGGACCTGCATCACCCAGTGTTAGCAAGAAACCTTCTAATCAGTTTAAAGAGAGTTCCCCCACCCTCCATATCTGATCACCCTGGTCCTGTCTTCAGCAAGAATCCTGTTAGGTCTGTTTAACCAAAATCCCCCCTACCCTTAACGTTTCCTCTTAGTAATTTTCCATTCACTGACCACCTCCCCACTCCTACCCCTCCTCCTCCCTGACTGTAAATCCCCACTTGTCCGTGTTGTATTTGGAGTTGAGCCAAGTTCTGTACTGAGGTCTCTTTTCCCCTTGTGATCATTAATTTTGTGTCAATTTGGCCACTGTGTTCCCAAACTAAACATTATTTCTATGCTGTTAAACATTATTTCTGAGGTGTCTGCGAGGGTGGTTCCAGGGGAGGTTAGCATTGGAATCAGTGGACTCCGTGAAGTAGACTGCCCTCCCCAATGTGAGTCCAATCCATTGAAGGTCCGAACAGAACAAGAGGCAGAAGAAGGAATTTGTCCCTTTTTTCCTTCCCAATTGCTTGAACTAGGCCATTTTATTTCATTTTCTCCAAAACTCCCTCTAGAGTTTACACCACTGGCTCCTCTGGTTCTCGGGCTTTCAGATTGAGACTAAATTATGCATTGGCTTTCCCAATCTGCAACCTGCAGACAGCAGATCCTGGGACTTCTCAGCCTACACAATCACATGAGCCAATTCCTCATAATCTCTCTCTCACTCTAATATATAGAGATACATATAATATAATTTTTATATATTATATAATTTATATATTATATTTTTATATAATATATATTTTTATATATATATACACACACACACACCTCCTGCTGGTTTTGTTTTGTTGGAGAACTCTAACATACCCCTATTGCAATGTTTCCTGAATAAAACCTGTTTTTACCACTTCAACTGCTGTTAGGCTCTGGTTTTTTAACACTATCAAGTATAATAGCCATGTAGTTATACTACAGATTGCATTAACTCCTTCCTTTATTCTACAAATATTTATGAAACCATAAAAGTCTAGGTATAATATTGACGGGAGTAGTAGAAAGTGGGGAAAGCTGGAGGATGACAACCAGGAAGGAAATAGTACAAAGATAAATAAGTAAAATTGCCTTCGATTAGCAAACTTAAATAACTGTGGCAGAAATAAATCAGATACATGAAGGTCTATAGACCCAGAGAGGAAATTATAAATTCACAAAAAAAAACACATAATAATAAAGAACATTGAGAGTCCACAAGAGGGAGAAATGATACGCAGAGGAAATAGCCAAAAACAACGTTGACAATAGAATGCTGGGAGAGTATAAAGAGGATGCTGCCACTGCTGTTGATAGATGCAGGAGGCAGATAAAAGGGACCATC